TAAATTCTTTTTCTGGATTAAAAACAAATGTAGCTAATGTGTAAGGATTTAGTTACCATAATAGATAAACTCCCAAAACAAAAAAAGCATATGAGTATACACACAAAGCCTTTCCCTGTGGCGGAACCCCGAGAGTGAGAGGTTTACTCGGTTAGAGCAGATTATGGACAGAGGGTGTTTGCTCGCATCACCAGCTCTCTTCCTGAGCAGAAAGAAGCAATCATAATACTTGTTTGGTACCAGGCTGTGGGCTGAACTTGAACTTATCTCCTGAAAAAGTTCATTTTCTCAGATATTCTACATTTGAGTTCATCAAAAGGGAAAGGAAATTGCATTTTGAGTTGATCTGCGAGAAATATCCATACTCAGTTATGACGCCATGGGAATCAGCTTGATTCTTGACTAGCTGAATGCTGGGTCTCGGTGACCATTTTGTATCACTTTGGAGGCCTGTAAAAATCTACTGGAGGAGGGTTGTGGATATCAGCCATCCTCAAAACTGTGAGTAGTCTTGACACCGTCTCATCTCTTCCCATATCATGAATTTGGGCTCCGGATGTGGGGCTGCGATAAAGGCATGGCTGAGACTGAGTCTGTGCTCGGACTGGCCTCTTGGTTGATTCTAGAGCTCAGGGGAGTTCCCATTAGATATGAAACCTGCCAGGCTCGATTGTGTTCCCATTTTTCTTTGTTTATATTTTTAAGTTTTAAAATATTTCCGCGCATAAGGATTCATGTGCTCAAACCCAAACATATGCTCTCCTAGTTATGCATACCCATCATTGTAATACTCATAAAAAACCCCTTTTCATTTATGTCAAAGCAATGGAATCCGTATCCCCATACCACTCTTCCTAGAGTTAAACATGAGTTAAGATTAGTTTGTTTAAAACACTAATTCTTTTACATGTAGTTTAAGGTTGCTCTTGGGGAGTAAATCTGATTTATAACTAAAATGCTATCTTAGGAACATTCTTTAGAGCATAGATTTTTCTCTCTCAAAGGCTGGAATGTTATTTTGGACCTATTCCTCCCAAAATCTGTTAAAATTTAAAGTGTATGAATGCCAGTATGCATTTGCCAAATATTGTGATGGAACATTTAATGCTGGCAAAATTTCTATATAACAAACAAAAAATGAAGTGGCGATTTTGCTTGTTTTGTATGACCTCTTTTCCTACCAGATTAGTATGTATTAGTGGGAAATGATTATAGCCGAGTAACACCTTACAATAGGTGGTTATAGATGTTAGATTCTGGAGAAGGATCTAGATGTACCATATGTGGTCAAGAGTTATTTTTATTTATTTTATTTTTTTAAGAGTTATTTTTAGACCCGAATGAGTCAGTGTAGCTCTTGCCAGAACTAATGTACTTGATGGACACATGACTGGCTAATGGAAGAGAGGAAATTGGGCTGGGCCCTAACATTATATCCTATGCTAAGACAAAATAGGCATCTTTCTATGGAAGTGATTTGAGAGAGTGGCAAAGGACTCATCTGCTAGCATCTTCCTTATTGGCATAGCTTAATGGTCAAATCCCCACCTTTATAGTCACTTCCTTTTGGAAAGATATTTTTGACAAATGCAAAAATAGCTCCTGTAATTGGTGACACATCACCCGGCTTTTTCCTGAGTGTATTCAATGAAACATTAGTTCAGCTTGGTTCGATAAGTTACATAAATGCAGATAAACAGGTTTGTATATTGCAAGACTTAGATGCCAATATTCAGGTCTCCAAGTTCGATGTATACTATATGGTATTTTCCTACCTTCTTTCATCATGGAAACTTTTTTTTCAAGAAGCTTATCTTGGAACTACTGTTACACTAATTTGAGAAACANATAAAATAAAATCAGCCATGGTGAGGGTATTCACACTATGGAAATCAGCAAACACTCTAAATCAACCCCCCACTCCCACCCCCCTGCCCGCCAAAACCCCGCCCCAGAGAGCTGAGTGTTAAACCTTTACCAGCACACCAATGGATGGATATAGAGCTATGTGTTTACAGAACTTTCGTGGAGTAGATGAGTTTTAGACAGGGCTTTGGGGGGGGGGGTAAAACGTTTTGAGATATAGGAAGAGTTGTTTCTGGATTTGAAAATAGTAGAGGTAATGCAGGAAGTGAAGGTTTTGGAGCTTAGTAGGTCCATAAATACGTCAAGAAGTGATATGACAAAATGATCTCTCCCTCTCTTGCACATGCCCAATTTAAAATGTGGATTCCCTACTAGATTTAACTATGAGTACACAAAGTGAAATGCATTAGAGACTTGACATACAAGATTTTCTATCTAGCAATCACAACAGGCATATAACCTTTTATATAATTGCCTGTGAAGTCACAAACAAGTAATATACGCTCCAGTGAAGCTGACCTATACTTAAAATAGCCCAGAAATTCAAAGACCAAGTTTTGATTCCTTTGAATTGATTCTTTGCTGTATGTGGTATGCCTAGCAATAAGTGAGGAGCTCTGTTATCTACCAAATGAGCAGAATGTTTTGTTTTCTGAAACTTCCAGAATTCATAGAATTTTAGATTTGAAAGAGACTTTAGAAAACATATAGGCCAGTATTTCTCAATGTTTGTCAGTCTAACATCAAAGTCAGAAATACCGGATGTTCTTGTTAATACCTGGAACCTTGTTAATACCTCGAACCCACCTCAGACTTGCTATATTGCTGGGAACTTGGGAATTTGCACATTGCACAATTCTCTAGATGATTCTGCCACATTTAAATGAATAACCCAATCCAAACCTTTCATTTTATAGATAAGAGAAACAAACCTCTAAGATGCAAAGAGATCACCCCTCAAGTGAGACCAGATAGCTGGTAGGATTCCACCCGTTTAAAAGAAAAAGTAAAAACCCATAAAATTGAGATAAAAGAAAATAGAAAACACTCTATTTAAAGAGCCAGCTAAAGGGCAACACAGGACTTCAATGAATAATATGTTGTTTGTGTGTGTAGTTACTAGTTGATATGCCCCACCTAGCCACAAATGAGTGTGGTTACCTTGAACTGCTAACATGAAAATCTTAACCTTCCACTTTTGACATTATTGGTGTTTAGCTACTCTGTGTTCTTTTTCTAGGTTTCCAAGTTGCTCTTTGGGGCTTGGTTTTAGAATCATAATTATAACTCTGGTTTCAAACGTCTGGACCATGTAATCAAACACAGGGTGGTCATAGTGGAAAATATACAGTTCTTAGTTCTGCCTACATTGACAAAGAATATGGCTGAATCTACATTCAATTTAGTGGCATGGCTTTATAGTGGCAGCTTTCCCCAAAATACTCCCCAAAAGAAGATCCATGTGTCTGTGGGAAATGTAGACAGTCAGAGGGGTTGGGAACCAGTCTCTCCAGCAGCATTTTCTTTCCGTTTTTTTGATCCAATCAAGTCATTTAAATATCTGGATCCT